AAGGCTTGTGCTGTTGAATTCACAGCCGTTTTGATAAGCATTCGAGCGTCATGTTGACGAATTACTTTCTCGCGTAGAAACAATATTCTTCATTTGTCGTCATTTTGTTTGCGGCTCGTTCAGCATTTGTCGCAATTTATTTGCGCTTGATGAATCAGGACAGAATCGCGTTGCAGACAGAATCCGATGCTGTAAGTCCGTCACTCCTGACACGACGAGATCTGTGTAGACAGGACTCGTGCACAAGATCTGAACGTTGTGGCTTAACAAAAAGGCTTTTCAGACGTAATAACGATTTCTGAGCGTTCTTACGTCGATCGCCACATCCGCGATCGAGAGCAGGTCGGCTGCATGTTAGATCGTGACAGATGTGACGGCGAAGGAACATCAGACGGTGCGGGCAACAAAGGAAGGAGTTACTATGGTTACTGCCTGAATGATACATCAGCACAGATGGACGTGCAAAAGACAACGTGCGATGATAATTGCCTGCGTGTCATATGTCAATAAAGTATACTATATAGTATATAGTATATATATATTTATGTATACTATAATATAATATATATAATAATATACACCCCTGTATATATATATATAGTTATATATATATAATGTATCCATATATAGTATATATACATGTACTATATATATGTACTATATATACTATATATGTACGTACATGTATATATAATATATATAATATATATATAGTATATATATATATGGGTTGGAACGTGCGCTCCTGCGTGCGTGCGTGCGTGCGTGTCGTGCGTGCGTAGCGTGCGTGCTTGCGTGAAAATGCGTGTTTGCGCGTGTGGCCACGTGTGTGTGTGTGTGTGCTGATCGTGTGTGTGTGTGTGTGTGTGTGTGTTGTGGCGTGTGTGTGGCGCGCGTTTGTGTGTGTGCGTGTGTGTGTGTGTGTCGTGTGTATGTGTGTGTGATATGTGTGTGTATGTGTGCTGTGTGTGTGTGTGTGTGTGTGTGTGTGTGTGTGCGCGTGTGTGTGTGTATGTGTTTGTGTGTGTGTTATGTATGTGTATGTTGTGTGTGTGGTGTGTGTGTGTGTGTGTGTGTGTGTGGTATGTGTGTGTGTGCTGTGTGGTGTGTATGTGTTGTGTGTCGTGTGTGTGTGTTGTATGTGTATGTGTGTGTGTGTGTGTGTGTGTGTGTGTGGTGGTGTGTTTGGGGGGCTATGTGTGTGGTGTTGCGTGTGTGTGTCTGCCTCATACGTATACTACCTGTTCCAATAGAAGGGTCAACATAGATCGGTGAAAGGGAGCGTGGCGAGCTGATAATTTGTTTGCGGCGTCTTTATGTCATAAGTAATATATAATTATGTGGCGGGGGAGCGTGCGTGCGTTTTATGCGTGCGTGCGTTTTATGCGTAGGTGTTTGCGTGTTTAATAGCGTGTTCGTGATTGGCGTGTGGGCCGTGAGTATTAATATGCGTTGTGTGGTTTGCGTGTTTATGCATGTGTGTTTACGTGTTTATGCGTGCGTGATTGCGTGTGGGCGTGAGTATTTATGCGTGTGTGTGTTTCCGTGTTTATGCATGTGTGTGTTTACGTGGTTGTGCGTGTGTGTGTTTCCGTGTTTATGCATGTGTGTGTTTACGTGGTTGTGCGTGTGAGCGTGCGTGCATGTGTGCCCAATACGTATACCACCAACATCAAACTAATAACGTCTCCTATAAGCTGTTGAGATGAGTTTCCTAGCTACCTCAATCATCACGAAATGTTGACCACAGTATTATTTCAATAATAAAGCAAACATGTATCATTTCCGTTATGCATGTCCTTCTACGAGAATTTGCATTTTAAACAGCACTTGATTGCCTATATATGCGACACACTTGATTCATCGTTGTATTTTATGCTTAATTACATGACGCGGCAGCAGGCGAGTGGCCGGACAGAATATCAAGCAAGCTCGGATACGCATCCCTCACAGGTTTTTCTATTCCTGTTAGGGTTTAGCAATGCAAAGCCTGAACGTAAGGCGGATGTCAGACGAACGTGAAGAAAAAAACGATGTAAAACCCTAACCCTAATCGCATCAATTCTTATTTTCAACACGCCATATACGTAATAGACTGCAGCGTGCGACACGCAAAGATGGCAGCCATGAGTCACTGATGCCCCAACCGACGTGTCGAAGACGCCATCTATCGTAGAAGGTGGGTACTATATTATAACAACCAACGGTACTTTATTACCCGTAATGCTGAAAGTAAGATGTATGTGAAAATTTCTGCCCGCATACACATGTTCCATTTTATCACATCAATCTGGAATCATAATCAATCCGGGAATTATCGAGAATTATTGAATCGAAGATAAGAAAGTAAATGATATCCAATGCACGTAAACAGTCTCCCTACTACAGTCAGTCAGTCAGCCCAACATAGACTGCCTGATTAGGCTTGTTTTAACTACCTACCATTGACCATGGAAGGCTAATAATAGTTATTTGCATTGCTGCTTATGCTTCACCAGCTTAACCTCACAAGTATTCACGATTTAAATTTGTTTACTCGGCATTCTGTTTCCTCGTTTCTGACCTTTAAGACAAGTCCAAGATCACTTCCCGTATCCTTATCGTAATCCTATACTGATAGATAGTTGTTTTTTTTAACTACGAGTTATGAATTTCGATAATATAAGAAAATCTCCAACGTTTATCTAGTACTGTTTTGCTTACTCATGCCACTACAGATCAAATTTCACATATCCACTCGTTCTCCCGGCGTAATAGGTACCGGCGGTTGTCATAAACGTGCCCTCCATCATAGAACTGGCTGTGATGCCACGCCGTAGTGGTATTCCCACAAAGCATATATATCTATATATATATCAGGAGTTAATAAAGTCAAATTTGTCTTTATTAACTCCTGATATATATATATATAGATATGCCCAATCCTAAACCTCAACATCAACAGGTCGTTTAGAAGGTGGTCTTTCTCTCGCTAGGTGGCTACTTAGCGCGTTACGCTATATTTTTTTTCATTAGCTGCGGACTGATTTGGAGAGGCGTTGTCGCCGAGAAAGCGGGGCGCGGGCGTAAGTGTGGCCACTAACAGTCGTAACTAGCTAGCCTCGCCCCGTCGCCTACAGCTAGCACACGTCGCATTGTAACACTAACTACTGCCTAAAGAAGGCAACGCGCTGGCGTCTGTCACCGAATTAAGCTCCGAGAAAAAATGGCTAGCGACCGAGCGGTGCTCGTTTAACTTGATTATCTTTGTTGCGTAGTCACTTTTCTTCTGTCTGCACGCATACCTGCGCCGATCTTGCATTCCGTAGCGAAAATTACCTCCCGACTGCGAACGCTAATCATATATTTCTGCGCATTAACCATCACTGCGTCTCGTGTTCTGTTACAACTGTAGTTTAACTTTCCATTTCCGCTTCGATTTATGTTAATTCTATTTGACTTTCTGTATTTATTTTGCAATCCGGATCAGCGTAGCTTACGATTAGTAATTACATACTAATTCCGATAGATGTCGCGCATTGACTGTGACATACTGGGACTACGATATCGAGTAGATAATTTAAAAAGGGCATCCGCTTGAATTATTTATCCAATGTCACGTTCGGTAGAGCCTAGCTCGCGGGTATTGTAGTAGTTACCACTCTAATGAGATCACGCCTATCAAACGGTGCCTAATTAACAACACTACGCATATCGCGAAATTTCAAGCGCATCTTAAAGATTATCAATGCACTGTAAAAATATTGACTAAAACTGCATAACTTACCGGTAGCACGCATAGAAACACACTTGGCTCGCATGCCGTGAATTTTAACGTGACACAAGTAATGCTTACATCAATGTGAGTAATCAGTAGAATTCAAGCGTCGTCATTGTACGTGAATCGTGATATAATCTCAGAATGTGATTGACTGTGGATCATCATATTATTTATTATAATATATATATATATATATAT